CATGGGAATCTACCCCCAAAACCAAGAGCACACTGTATATACACTATATGTTACCCAATTTGACAATAAATTATGTTAAAAAATAATACTAATAAAATAAAATGGGACTGGGAAAAAAAGTTACTGAAATATGAACATGAGCACCAGTCTCTTCCCAGGTGGGGGCTTGGTTCTACTTTTCTGAGGAAAATGATCAGGAAATGACCCACTAGGTTAGGCAATAAGTCAGGGGACTCCCTCTTCATATTTGAAAGTGGAGGTACTTCAAACATTTTCCTCCTCCGGCTACTAGGAGTACCTGTTTGGTAGGCGTAAGGATGTGGGAGTGGGACAGAGAAGCAGCATCTTCCCCTCAGCCTTCTGCACCTAATACAGCAACAGCTTTTCTCTCCTTTCCCCTCAGCCCTCTGAGCTCTGAGCTCAAGGGCTCAGGGAGAAGGCCAGAGAGGTAGCTTCCTTCTGCGCAGAGAGGCAAGTGCAAGCAGCGGAGGCTGCAGACTCCAGAAGCTGCCTTAAAGAATACAGCAGCGCCCTCTGCTGGGAAGCACAACCGCCGCACTCCAAGAGAAGCACACTAGCGAACCTTGCAAACATCAATCCAGCTACTGCCCTTCTTCCCTCCCACTTACTTAAAAAAAGTCTCTTGGGGGGCGCCTGGGTGGCGCAGTCGGTTAAGCGTCCGACTTCAGCCAGGTCACGATCTCGCGGTCCGGGAGTTCGAGCCCCACGTCAGGCTCTGGGCTGATGGCTCGGAGCCTGGAGCCTGTTTCCGATTCTGTGTCTCCCTCTCTCTCTGCCCCTCCCCCGTTCATGCTCTGTCTCTCTCTGTCCCAAAAATAAATAAACGTTGAAAAAAAAAAAATTAAAAAAAAAAAAAAAGTCTCTTGGCCCCAGAACCTGGGAAGATGTCACTTTTGTCTCTATTCTATCTCAGCCAGGCTTCAGAGCCCTTTGTCCTTTTCCAGTCCTGGGCTAGCACTCCTACCAGGTTAATGCAGAATGACAATGATCAGTGGCAATTCTACCACCACCCCAGGCCATAGAGCTATATCTCACTATGAAGACGAAAGCCTGGTTACATTAAAGAACTCTAAGAACAGAAAGCCTGGGATAGTGCTGGAAAATAGTTTAAAAGGTCTTCCTTAAGTCTAACTGCTCCTGCTTACTACTTTTGTATCCTTTTAGGAATAAAAGGAATAAATAGGAATATCTTCAGATAGCACAGATATCTATTTTCAACTCTCCCAAGTCCTAAACTTATCTCTGTGAGATGTGAAATGAAGTGGAGAAAAGACTGTGGGAAATGAGAAAAGTCCAAATTCCCCTGTAGACAAGGAATCTTTTTGAGCCCAACTCAGAACTATAACCTGCCTTAGACATGGCAATCATCTTGGTTCTCTGAGCCTAGTTATCACAGCATGCTGAGTATGGGGCACACTTTTAGGTAACGCATACCTTGGAATGGTCTAGGAAAGGATAGCCAGGATATTGCTGAAGAATGCAGTTTAAAAGGTTTTCCTTAATTCCAGAGCAGAGGTTCTCAAGGCTTGGCATGCATCAGAATCACCTGAAAGGGAAATTTCAAAACCCAGAATTCTGAGCCCTAACTCAGAAGTTTTGTTTTAGTTAACTGTGTGATGCCTGAAAATTTACATTTCAAAGAAGTTCAGATGATGCTTACAGTTCAGGGCCCAAACTTTGAGAACCACAGGTGTAGAGAAAAGCACCTTGCCCTCAGCTATAAATCAAGATGGTTACACCTTTGTTTAAAGCAGTCTAATTTGGTGATCTCTTCCTTATAAAGACCTTCTAGGAGTAGACTGAGCTCACAATCAAATCTCTAATTTTGTAGTGTTTATTTTCTCATTTAAGAAAAAGAGAGAGAGGGAAACAAAGAAGGAAAGTACAGAGAAAGAAGATGCCCAACTCCCTTGCACAAACCCAGGGAGAGAAAGAGCTGGCTGGCTTGTAAGAAGACACTTAATTGGGAAGAGAATGTAACCACTTCCTGAAGCAACACAAATCTCCATCCAACCCAAAGCTACAGCCTTCTAAAGCCAGCTCCGGGACTTAGTCAACAGCCAGCAGTTTTGCTAAAACCAACCCCCAGGCCTAGAATTTCATTATCTTGGCAGCCTGTTGGTTTGCAGCCATCTTTAACAATGTTGGGTTTTGCCACATTCAACATGGCTCTTTCTGTTCAGGGTTTCTACAGTGTCTTTGGGTGACTTGTAAGCAGCAAACCACTGATCCATTGTCATGGGCTCACATCCTTCACCAGTAAGGCAATCTGCTCCTGCAGCTGCCGCTCCCCTTTCCATGCTTTGCTCTGGCTTCGACACCTCAGCAGCTCAGCCTTGTGGTCTTGGTGATGCATAGGGCAGTAGCTCTGTGGTTCACACAGTTCCTGAAAGGTAGGGGACAAAGTAAGGGAAACTCCAGTTTCCAGAACTCTGCCTACTAACTATAATGGAGATGCTGATAGTAGTAGCTAAGAAGAGCAGCAGTTTCTTCTCGGAGGGCTTTGCAGGCCCTGGAAGTTTAATGCTAAAGTTGGCTCCCCCAAGTCTGAGCTCTCCTGTTGCCCACGTGCCCCATTCTTTACCGTATATTCTGGAAAGAAGTCTCTGTAGCCCCCTTTAAGGATATATAGCTCTGGGTAGTACAATGCAGGATACTGGTTCAGAGCCCTGTCCTCTTCTCTGAGAGAGCGGCACCTTTAGAGAAAACCCAGAGGTGGGTGGGGTGAAAAGAAGCAAGGTCAGGATTCTGTGGACCATTTGCTGGGGAGGGGAACAAAGAATAGACTATGGGTAACCCCAAAGGACTTCCAGATCTCACTGTTTTTGCAAAACAAGGTTCAAGTAGTCACTCTTTCTCCTTTCCTTTGTGGGTATCTCATTCCCAATCCTTTTTCCTTCACTACTCCAAACTTTAAAAAAAAAAAAAATGTTTTTTTTTAAGTTTATTTATTTTGATGGTTGGGGAGAGACAGAGAAAGAGGGCGAGAGAATCCCAAGCAGGTCCCACGCTGTCAGTGGGGAGCCTGATGCAGGGCTCCAACCCACAAACCGTGAGATCATGACCTGAGACGAAACCAAGAGTCAGATGCATAAGTGACTGAGCCACCCAGGCACCCCTCTGCTCCAAACTTTTAAATTGTAGAAACCTTTCCTTCCACTTCTCTAACCTTTAAGCTGCAATGGAAAATATGCATTCTTCACTCATTCATTCATTCATTCATTCATTCCAGTCTCTGTCTGAACTGGTCTGGGAAGGCTCCCTGGTTTTAAGTCCCAATTCAAGGTCCATTTCCAACATCTGCCCATGTAGACACTCACATTCGGGGACCCCTTTCTGAGGAGAATTCACAGTGGAACACGATGATTATTCTTTTCTGGGTGTTCAGAGGCATGACAGGCTTCTTCAGAAAGAAGTCATATAGTTCTTCCTGACTGTACAAATTTAAGGCTCCCTGTAGAAGAATTTTGGTAAGTACTGTATTTCCTTAAGCACCTCTGGACAGTTACAACACTTAGAAATAACTGGGATACCATCTTGGGATATCTGGGCAAAGAAGTCTAGACTATAAGCACTTTTGGGGCATAGATCTAATTATATCTCTGGGTCTATCCCCAAGGTCTGGCATAGAGCTTGGTATGTAGTAGGTATTCAATAAATGTTTGTAGAACTAACCCTCCAACCCCTAACATGTAGGAATCGTTGTGAGGAATGTCTGTGAGTATCTGCAAAGTGCTTCTCAATCCTTGCATTCATATTTTAATTTGAAGTAGGAGCCCTTGGCTCCAACAAAATAGGGGGAGATCAGTCTAGGAGGAAAAGGGAAAGTAAAGTGCTCGACGTACACAGAATTAGAATAGGAATGAGGACTTGCAGCCTTATCCAAATGTATAACCTCTGCCCTGGTTCTGGAGTTCATAGGGCTTTTATCCATAGACTCTGCTCAATAAAGAGCTACCTCCAGCCCTTCCCAACTAATGTCCCCTATGTAACCTCACCTGGATGTGTCCTCCCTGGTACTCATATGGATAGCGGCAATCGATGATATAAAACTTCTCAATCAGACTCTGGAACTTCCCTGACAGTAAGGCAGCCACCTGCACAGAAACAATGATTAAACACTCTGCTCCCAGTCACTCCAAGGGAGAGAACAGCCCTTCACACAGTTCGTCATTTGTACTCCCTTTAGTCACCCAGGATTCTACTGTATGCCCGTCCTCCAAAGGCCCCTTATATTTTGAAATGGAGCAATGGTTGCATCCCTACCCCCCATTCAAGAGGATAAAATAGGAAATGGTCTTTTTGGAACACCGAAGTAGCTAGTATTGTCAAGACACCAGAGAAAATCGTATTCAAGCCACTCATCTGGAGGCAGGCATGGCTCCATTGAGCCTCTCAGAAGACACCCAAGGACTTCTGCAGGGGTACAGGTAGCAGGTAGCAATTCCGACTTTGCAGGAAGAAATGGGAAATGGTTCCCCATGCTCCATCGTAAAGGAAGAAAGCAAATCTTTCAGGAAAGGATAAGGAAGGAAAAGGTCGACATCCTTAAGCTACTTGTAACAGTGTAAATTGGTTCAAACTTTCTGGAGTGAATTTTGTAAATGTAAGTGTAATTACACTTTGACTCAGTAATTTCTATTCCAACATCTTTAGTGAACAGAAAAGTACGCACAAAGATGTGGGACAACAATATTCATCCCTGCATTCATTATTTTAGGTTATCAAAATATTACAAATAACTTAAATATTCAATAATGGGGGTTTGGTTAAATTATACATGCCAATATAATAGAATATTATATAGTCATTGAAAGGATAATATAGATTTTTTTTTATTGATGTAGAAACATATTTACAATGTCTTGCTAAGCTAACTTCAACATGTATAGAAGCTAACATGTTCATTATGATTCTATTTTTATCAAATATGTTCCAGAATAAAACGTGGAAGGCCATAAGGAAAATATTACTAGTGGTTATCTCCAGTGATGAGATTATGGGTAGGGTGACCAAATAACTATTGCACAAACTAGGACACTTTTGAGAGTGAAAGAGAACACTATAAATAATTACCACACGCTGAAAGGTGTCAATGGTATTGTAACCTCTAAACCAGGATATAAATTTGCCTCAACTGAGTGATTTTGACTTTTTTCCTGCCCTCCCTTCCTTTATTGTTTTCTCTCTTTCATAACAATTTTATATCACTGGTTTAATTAAAAATAAAGGCAACAGAATGGGATAAACGGGACTCCTTTAACACAGCTTCAGTTGAATGAGGTGCCTATGTGAGTGAACACAATGAAAGAAATATAATGGAAGTGGGATTTTATGGACAGAACAGACCAGATGGTAGCTTATGTAACCAGTTACCATCTCCAGAAATCTGCTTACTGTTTCTGGGTTGATGTACTTCAAATCTTGGTGTCTCCCTGACACGGTTGGCAGCACACACACCTAGAAATACCCAAGAGCTGAAATAACAACAAATTTTCTATACCCCAATTTGAGATCAAAGACCACAAATTGTCCTCCTTTCCAACTGACCTTAAAACCCCAGATGCCTTCAAAACAATCAAGAGTCTCTATAACTTGCATATGTAGCAATCCATTTCTAAGAAGTGATTCTAAGGAACTAATCAAGGGTGTGTACAAAATTTTAGATTTAGCTATCAATATGTCCACCTTGGTACAGTTCAAAAGGAAAACTTGCAAAAGTAAATAAGCTACAAGAACAGCTTTATCAAGAAATTATGGGCAGGAATGCCTGGCTGGCTCAGTTGGTAGAGTGCGTGACTCTTGATCTCAGAGTTGTGAGTTCAAGCCCCACAGTGGGTGTGGAGATTACTTACAAATAAAAAAGTAAAAAAATAAAAATCTTTTAAAAAAAATATGGGAATCCAAAAAGAGAAAGAAAGAAAGAAAGAAAGAAAGAAAGAAAGAAAGAAAGAAGAAATACTGTACTATTAAAAATTATGAAATGATGTTGGGGTGCCTGAATGTCAGTTAAGCATCTGACTCTTGATTTTGGCTCAGGTCATAATCTCCTGGTTCATGGGTTTAAGCCCCATGTTGGGCTCTGCGCTGACAGTGCAGAGCCTGCTCGGGATTCTCTCTTTCCCTCTCTTTCTGCCCCTTCCCCACTTTCACCCTCTCGAAAGAGAAAGAAGAAAGAAAGAAAGAAAGAAAGAAAGAAAGAAAGAAAGAAGGAAGGAAGGAAGGAAGGAAGGAAGGAAGGAAGGAAAGAAAGAAAGAAAGAAAGAAAGAAAGAAAGAAAGAAAGAAAGTTTTTAAAATTATGAAATGATGAAGCAGAACTGTTTATTGACATGAAGAGATGTTCTTGATACATTAAATGAGGAAGAAAAAAAACCCCAGTAGATCACAAAACAGTATAAATCATTTTTTGTGAAAAAACAAAAAAAACCCAAGAATATGTATTTGTGTATGTAAAATATGCATGTGTGTTTGTGAAAATACATAGAAAAAAGTCTGGAGGAATATATACCAAGATGTTCATAAGATTTGAGGTATATTGCATTTTCTACTTTTCCTGTAATGACCAAGTATTATTTATATAATTTTAAAAGATTTTTTTAAATGTTTTATTTTATTTTTGTGAGAGAGACACACAGAGTGTGAGAGGGTCACACAGAGTGTGAGAAGGTCACACAGACTGTAAGAGCGTCAGAGGGAGAAGGAGACACAGAATCTGAAGCAGGCTCCAGGCTCTAAGCTGTCAGCACAGTGCGTGATGTGGGGCTCGAACTCAAAAACGGTGAGATCAGACCTGAGCCAAAGTCAGACGCTCAACTGACTGAGCCACTCAGGCACCCTAAAAGATATTTTTAAAAAGAAAAAAGTAAAAAGCCTCACACTTCCCCACTGCTTTGGATTTTCCCAGAATTAATAAAAAGTACTTTTTCACTGGAAAGGCTTAGGGTCTAGATCTACCATGATAGCACCTTCAGTTAATCATGTATTCAGGATACATGATTATACCTAGTGTCCTCTGCAAGCAACAACAACAAAAAAAAGAAGACTCAAATCCAAAATGACTCAGTGAAATATAGGATGAGTATAACCAAACTCACCTTGGAGAAATCACCAATCAGAGACCCCTGGTTAGACTCTTCCTCCAGCAGCTGAGTGATATTAATGTCACAGAGAGAGACTGCCTTCTTTAGACCTAAGCCCTGAAGATGACAAGATTTCCCCCACCCCAATTCCTCATGTTAAAAGTTTAAAAACCAGGGGAGAGAAGGAATGGAGACTTATTAAAAATATGCACACCTTTTGATCTAATAATTGTTTGTTTTCCTAGGGAAATAAAAATACGCACAAAGATTTATCTGTAAAAATGTATATCCCAGCAAGTTTATAATAGAGAAAGATTATTAATAAATAACAGGGTCTTGTTTAAACAAATCATATTCTACACATTATATATTACTATTATGCAATAACAAGTATGTTGTAGGGGCACCTGGGTGGCTCAGGGAGTTAAGTGTCTGACTTTGGCTAGGGTCATGATCTCATGGTTTGTGGGTTCAGGCCCCAAACATTGGGCTCTGTGCTGACGGCTCAGAGACTGGAGCCTGCTTTGGATTCCATCTCTTTCTCTCTCTCTGCTCCTCTCCTGCTCATGCTCTGTCTCTCTCTTTCTCAAAAATAAACAAACATTAAAAAAAAAAAGTATGTTGTAGATTAATTTCATTGACATGAAAATAAGTTCATGATATCCTTAAAAAAATGAGAAAACATGTACTTTTGTAATACCACTTTAATAAAAGAAAACAAAAAACTGCATCCAAAAAAGAATCTGGAAGAACATACACCAGCTAACAATAATTATCTCTGGCCTATGGGATTATGGACATTTCACAACAGCTTCTTTTTTTCTTTTTTTTTTAATGTTTTTTCATTTTTGAGAGACAGAGAGCGACAGAGTACGAGTCAAGGAGGGACAGAGAGAGAGAGAGGGAGACAGAAAATCTGAAGCAGGCTCCAGGCTCTGAGCTGTCAGCGCAGAGCCTGACGCAGGGCTTGAACTCAGGAACCGCGAGACCGTGACCCAAGACGAAGTTGGATGCTCAACTGACTGAGACACCCAGGCGCCCCTCACAACAGCTTCTTTTGTTTATGTGAAACTTATGTACTATAAAACAGCCAAATGTATTTAGATTTTTTTATAAAGGAGAGGTAGGAAATGGGGGCTAAGCTTTTCAAAAGTTGCTTGCCACCAAACAGTGTGTTCCATGATGCTATTTCTGTCAGAATGCAGTTAAAACAGCAGTAAATATCCTTACCATTCAAGGTTCCCTTGTATCCTCTCAGATCTTAAAAAAGAAAGTTGGGAAGACAGTATGCCAACATCATTTCCCGAAGTATAATATAAAAAATATTTACTGTTAAATATTTTATACATGGATGCAGATGTAGAAAAGACAGAACAAAGAGACAAAAAGCAAAAGTAATTAAAAAGAAGATATACTAAAGCAATCCTCATACCAAAAAAGCAGAAAAGACAAGAAAGAGCATTAAACAGATTCTCATCTTGAAAAGTTCTTACCTTCCTGAATTCTTTGTTGTGAGAACAATACTCCTGTTTTACTTTATCCGCTATGGGATTGTCCTTGAATTTTACCACCTGATTCAGTCTTGGCCTGTTCAGCGTCTCTGGCAGTGAAGGCGAGCGATACAAGGAGCTTCTATTCAGAGATGCCTGTATGGGAATATCACCCCCCGCCCCCCGCCATGTTCTTACTCCTCTAAGTGTGTCTGCAGGCCAGCAGCATGAATACTCCGGGGAGCTTGTTAGAAATGAAGAATCCTAGATATTGGACCCCAGACTGAATTAAAATCTGCACTTTAGCAAGTTGCCCAGGTGATTTCTAGCAACCCTAAAGTTTGATAGGCAAAACCTTAGGTAAGCAACCACTCTTCCCCTCCTATTAACATCTTTCTCCTCAGACTGCATGATGTTTCATCTCCCCCAGATATATTAACTCTAAGCCAAACCAAATTCACCACGTGACCATCTTATACACACCAATTCTTATAAGAGAAAGTGCAAACTCAATTCCTCCAGTCAAGGGAAAAAACAAACAAATGAACCTAATCCCACAATTTCTCTATAGGATCTTAAGACTCTGACAATCAACATTTAAGGACCCAAACAAAATAGAGGATGACAAACCAAAAAGGTCAGTCTGGGTAAAAAAAAATACTAGGCAGCAAGAGTATGTGTCACTTTTTTGGGTAGTAGTTTCTTAGAGGGACAGAGAAAAAATACCACTCAGCTTTCTTATAAAGGAGGTTGTTAGTGGGAAAGAAAAATAGCAAAATAAGCATCCTGCAAGGGAAACGGGAACACTAGAATCTAATATCAAGATTACTATTATAGGATTGATATTATGAAGACTATCAGGGGAAAAATGGATTAAATACCATGAAGAACTAGCCTTGGAGTTACTGGCCCAGACTAAAGTGTAACATGATGGACTACTGTCTCCTTGAAAGGCATGATTTGGGTATTATAACCACAGGCAGAGGGATATATTAAACGACCTCTGATAACAACTTTCAACTTATCTAAGATTCTTTAAAAGAAATGTTTTTAAATAACCTCGACACCCAACATGAGGCTCGAACTCACAACACAGAGATCAAGAGTCCCATGTTCTAGTGACTGAGTCAGCCAGGTACCCCTCAACTAATCCAAGATTCTTATCCTCTGTTCCCATATACCTTCTATCTCTTGCCTAGATAAAAGCCAAAAGTTTCTACTTTATACACTCACCTCACTAACTGCTATGGACTGATTGAGAAGTGAGCTAGATAATAAGAGAGCTATAACTAGAAGACAAGTTGATGGTCAATGATTTCTGGGAGAATAAAAAAAGAACATCAAAATTTTACTTTATAGTAACTATATCTATTACAGTGTTTGTCACATCGATGGTCCCATCTAAGGAAAACTCCATTGTTCATGGTACCAGCTGAAGGTACAGTTCACATTTTATTTACCAATATTTTACACAGACCTTTTCCCTTGGATCCATGCCAGTCAACTCCCTACATCCCCACAACCCTGTCCAGAGCCACTGACAGGCCCATATTGCTGGTTCAACACACCCATTTAGTAGCCTAGAATATGTAAAAATAATCTGGGCCAATTAGGTTCTCTCTCCTGGGAGTCTAACTTAGAAAATGGCAAAATAATTAGGCAGCAACAGAAGCCAAAGCTTAAAAGGAAGAAGTCAAGAGATACAGTCAAGGCCATGAGGCCAGTGATGAATGCATGGATGAACCGAAGGTATAGTGGCAGAGAGATGTAGTAAAGGAATGAGGAACAGGCTACCCAGACTTCTTGACCCACTACTCTTCATATAATTTCAATTTTGCCCTGAGAAGAAGGCAGGAGAAAGCCAGATAGGAATTTCAAATTTGATGGCCTTAGTGCAGTCTTTGTTTCTTTTAACCATAAGATCCTTCCTAGAACATACCAAATTATTAGGCTAACGGCTCATTTTAAAGAGTTTGGAATGAATGAGCTACTAAGGGAAATGTATCCATTTTTTAATATTATATCTAAGAAACCTTTACCTAACCTATGGTCACAGAAATTTTCTCCCATGTTTTTTTCTTCAGATGTTTTATAGTTCCAGATTTTACATTTAGGTCTATGATCCGTTTTGTGCTAATTTCTATATACGGCATGAGGTATGGATTGAGGTTTTTGTTTTTCATATGGATTTTCAATTGCTCCAGCACAATTTGTTGAAAAGACCATGTTTTCTCCATTTAATTGCTTTTGTATCTTGGTCTAATTATCAACTGGCCATATATGCATGGGTCTATTTCTTGAATCTCTATTCTCTTGCATTGATGCTTTAGGTTTCTAGTAGGTATTACGGTGATAATGAAGGTGATAAATATCTTTTTGTGTTTTGTATAATCCAAAGGCAAGAACCCAGAAATAAATGACAGCAGAAAACTACTTTAACAAACAGAAATAGCCACTACTTTTCTAACAGATTCTTTTCAACACATTTATATTAAAACAAAAGGCAATTTACTGCAAAGAGCATACATGCTTGGTCATGCAGACATGATGATACTTTAGCTTTGTCTTGCTAGTCAAAATTTCCCAGTTCTCAGAAGCAGCAGTGGGGAGAACCAAGGACCAGCTGGCTTAGATGGCACTCAATATCTGCCAATTAGTGATTTTCCTTCTTTAAGGAATCAATAAATACTTTCAATATTTGGGAGTTTTGAGCATTGAAAAGGCCAGGAAGAAGAAAAGGAAACTTGCTAAGCTCGAGTCTACCTGCAGATTTTATAAAAAGATCTAATTGAATAATTATTATTTTGTAAACTGAGAAGGCATCACCATTTCCTCATGGCCTGCACACTCTTCTATACAAATAGACTTGGCTTCTGGTCTTGTCAAAGTTATCAGCAATCTTCATATCACTGTATCTTTAGACATATATCTTTCTGAACTTCATAGTAGCTTCCATGGAGTTGGCTACTGCCTTCTTCCTTGGCTTCAAGACACCTTCTAGTTTAGATTAGGGCTGGTACAGGCAATCCCTAAACTATAGAACCATGATGCTTCTACCTCTCTGTTGCTCCTTCTCAGTCCTCTTTGTTGGGCCTCTTCACTACCAAACCTCTAACAGATGTTGGACGAGGGTTAGGTCCTGGCCCTTTTATATCTCCTCACTGTGGCCTTAGGTGATTTTTTTTTTTTTTCTATCTGTGAATTCAAATTTTCTGTTTTGAAAATAAGTATTGTTTATACTGATGACTCTCAAATATCTATTTCAAATCAAGACTTCTGCTCTTACTTCCAGATTTCCATATCCACATACTTCCTTGGCAGTTTCTGAGTACCTACTACGTGTCATAGCAGTGAATAAGGGAGTGGAAGAGACAAAGAAATATGTGCTTTTAAATTCTATAAGTAAAAAATAAGAAGAATAAAAAGATAGGGAATATATTTGGGTTGGAAAGCTTGTCAGGAAAGGCTTTTCTGACGGTTAACACATGTAGGGAAATGAGACTGAATTGAGGGAAAAAAATCCTGTGTTACCTATGGGAAGAATGTTCCAGGCTGAAACAACAATGCAAAGGCCCTGTAAGAATAGCAAGGCCAGTAATGGCCACATTTAGTATGGAGCATTTTTAGAAAGTTCAAAAACTAATTGAAGCAATACTATGAGCCAACTAAACCTAACAGACATTACAGAACACTGTACCCAACAATTGAACATGCATTCTTCTCAAATACACATGAAATATTCTCCAGGACAGATCATGCACTAGGTCATAAGACAAGACTCAATAAATATTAAAAGACTGAAATCATACAAAGTATGTTTTCTGACCACAATGGATTAATCAGAAATGAGTAACAGAAAAAAAAAATCTGGGAAATTCACAAATTAGGTGGAAATTAAACAACACACTCCAAAATAAACATTGGGTCAAAGAAGATCTCAAGAGAAATTAGAAAATACTTTTGGATGAATAAAAATGAAGACACAACATACCAAAATTTAGTTAAGGATACAGCTAAAGTAGTGCTTAGGTGAAACTTTACAGTTATAAAGGCCTGTAACAGAAAAAAAGGAATGATCTCAAGACAATGACCTAACCTTCCATCAAAAGGAAACTAAATCCAAACCAAGCAGAAGCAAGGAAATAAAGATTAGAACAAAAACTTAATGAAGTAAAGAACAGAAAAGAGAAAACAACAGAACCGAAAGTTGATTTTTTGAAAAGATCAACAAAATTGATAAACTTTTACCTAGATTGACCAAGAAAAAAAAAAGAGAAAAGACTCAAATTACTAAAGTTAGGAATGAAAGAATGGACAGTACTAGCAATTATAATAAAAAAGATTATACAGGGATACTATGAACAACTACATACCAATGAATGAGAAAACTTAGATTAAATGGGCAAATTCCTAAAAAGACAAAAACTACTGAAACTAACGAAGAAGGAATAGAAAATCTGACTAGACCTACAAAAAGTAAAAATTGAATTAGTAATTATAAAACTTCCCACAAAGAAAAGCCCAAGTCCCGATGGCTTCACTGGTGAATTTGGCCTAACATTAAAAAAACAAAAAACAAAAACTCCAATTCTACACACACTCTTCCAGAAAACTGAAAAAGAGTGAATTCTTTCCAAATGATGACATTACACTGATACCAATATTACAGACATTACAGGGAAAACAAAACAGTAAAGATCAGAATCTGTCATGAGCATGGACTCAAAAATTCTCGGTAAAATTTCAGTAAATCAAATCCAACAACATGTAAAAAGGATAATACATCATGACTAAGTAAGGATATCACCTGCATGAGAGGTTGTTTAACATTCTAAGATCAATGTAATTAACCATATTATTAAGTTAAAAAAAACTCCTAAGATCATCTCAATAGATGCAGAAAAAACATTTGACAGAATATTTTCTCTTCCTGCTAAAATCTCTCAGCAAACTAAGAATAGAAAGGAACTTCCTCAGCCTAATAAAGGGCATCTTAAGAAACCCATAACTAACAATACTCAACAGAGAAAAACTGGATGCTTTTCCCGTAAGACCAGGTACAAGGCAAAGTGTTCTCAACAATTTCTAAGATTGCAAAGGAATCCTGATACCAAAAAAATTGTGAAGTCTTCATCTAGGAGCAAGGGGGAAATGAT